GAGCTTTTAACGATTTATTGGAATAGTTTTATTCTCGGGTGCAAACAACCTTGACGATTTTTAAAGCCAGTTGATGCGCATCCTTGAAAAGTCCTAAATCCATGTATATCTAAAATTAAGGCCTTAAAATATTTGAAATTAAAAATGTAAATACAATAATCACAGGTTTTAAATTTCGTCGTGGCAAGACGATTCAATCTTGTATGTAGTTTTTGTTGTTTCTGTCAGGCAAAAGCTTAAGTTGCATGCAGACATCTTCATTGTATTCTGTGAATCAAGGCGGTCGGAAACTACCGTATTTTTCGGCTAAAATATTAAATAAATAATAAAGCGCTACTTTTTTCCCCACACTTTGAAAAAAGCGTGGCATATAACCCGGTGCGGCTTTTCTGTGGATTTTTCTTCAACCGCCAGGGGGCTCGTTAGCAGGAAGTGAATCATTGGAGGTCAAAATTGGAAATCAAAGAAGAAAGTGCTAATTTTCATTTAGAGCATACATGCTAGCAGCAGGCGCGACGGAGAAATGTTTCCAATCTCCAATGATGCCGCTTTTAAGTTGAAGGCTATCGATCCAAGTTTTTTTTTAATTTAAACTTTGTGGGTGCGGCTTATAGTGAGGTGCGCTCGATAGTCCGGAAAATACGGTAGCTGCTAATAAATATACCCTCGCTATCTACCTTCTTTTGAGTCTACCACGGGTAAGTGAAAATGTATCACAAGTTGGTTTTGTTGCCAACCTGTATGAGCCAGCAGGATCCTCCAATCATCTCATCTTTATAGTTTATATGTCTTAAATTTCATTCAAGCTACTATTAAAAAGGTGTTAAGTCTTAAATTTGGCCCGCTGAAACGTGCAGATACGCTGAAAAGTGCAACTTGGTGCACATATTTCATGTTATTGAGAATTTTCTGTGATTCACACACAGGGATAAATTACATGTGGAAATTTATAGACACACCAGCCATCAAAAAACGTCTGTATATTTCTGGCTGGATGGCCAGTTTTTATGGTTGAATTGAGTTCATTTCCAGCCACAAACTCTGCTTTTAACCGTCATCCACGAATTTCCATTCGTGTTAATGTTGGGGCCAATCCAGAAGCTTGATGTTTGCCTGCTTTCTCCATTCCAAAATTAGTTTCGATGTGTGTTTATGATCACTGTCATGTAGGAACACCCAATTGTGTCCCGGTTTCAACTCTCTGAGGTAAACTGTCACACTCGGATGAGAGGAAATAATCAAGAACAAGTTGTGACCTAGCGAACTGGAAACTGCTGGAACGGCAGTGTCGGGGTGAGGCAAGAAATAAGCCTCCTGCTTCGAAATTGACACCTTTAAGCTCAACTAAAATTTGCAGCTGCCCACATGTCAAGTCAAGCTTATTTGTGTAGCAGATTTCTGCAACATTCAAAGTGCTTTTCACCATAGCCAGTAATGAAACGACCAATAACAGTTACTCAAATGCCATCATCAAAAATCATGAGGCTAGTTTCCCAATTGTATGGAAATTTGAACTGAAATCTGAACTCAGTGTTTCAGATGTTTTCTAGTTTTCTGGAAGTTTGTTCCAGATCAGTGGAGTGTTAAAACTGAATGCTGCTTCTCCATGTTTGGTTCTGGTTCTGGGGATTCGGAGCAGACTTGAACTAGAGGACCTGAGTGGTCTGGAAGGTTGATGCAACAACTACAGGTTTTGAATGTATTTTGGTGCTAAGCCATTCAGTGATTTATAAACTAACAAAAGTATTTTAAAGTATATTCTCTGAGCTGCAGGGAGCCAGTGTAGGGACTTTATAACTGGGGCAATGTGCTCCAACTTCCTAGTTTTAGTCAGAACACCGGCAGCTGTGTTCTTGATCAGTTGCAGCTCTTTGATTATTGTTTCAGGCAAACCTGTGAAGACACTGTTGCAGGAATCAATGCGACTAAAGATAAATACATGAATGAGTGGTAGAAGACTGACTTTGTAACTGTCTTTATGTGTCTCTTAAGGTCCAGATCTGAGTCCATCACTAAACCCAGATTTTGGACGCGACCACTATTTTCTAGCTGTAATAACTGAAGCTGTGCCCTGACTCTTTTGGTCCAAAGATAATAACTACAGTTTGGTTTCTCTTCTGCTGGAAGAGTGGAGATGTCGAATGTCTTCTGGAGAAAAGTCTTATGGTCAGATGTGACAAAGCTTAAGATATTTGGCTACAAGGAGTCTCTGTCATCCTGCGGGCCCAGTTTGATGCCAGTGTTACTTATGCATTGGTGGAATAATGAAGACAGAGACATATTGCATAGTTATTCAGCAGCTTGATTGTTGGAACCTAAACTACATTAAAAATAGCTTGGAAATGGATGAAGAAGAATAAGATTTAGTGCCAGGCATGGGCTAGGCTCAAAAGTTAAGTCTGTTCAAAGAAACCAAACAATTCAAATTCATCTCTGAGAAGAACAGAGATTAATTTGAATTGTTAAATTCACCAGTCAAATATCCAGTGACCGGTGTGTCCGGACCTTGTTGACATCTACAAAAAATGTGTTGTATCTTACAACACACAATTTACTAAATGAACATTTGTTATTAATGGGGGTGTATGAATATATTTGAGCAGCTATGTTTAGTTATGAACCTGTGTACATCAGAGGAAACCCAGAATAAATTTAAACGTGCCACTGAAGCTCTCATAAACAAGTGTATTTAAACTTGTGACCGGAACCGTAGTTTGTTCGCTGACATTTAAAATCTAACAGCCTTTGCCAGATTTAGGCGGGAATTGTGACAGAATAAATTTGTGCTCCTGCAGATACATATAGAGATGTAGGTGTCTCTGAGGGAGGAGGTGTGAGCACTCTGCTGCATTGTCTGAGCCAGTTGGTGGTCTTCTTGGTCGACATTCAGGGATCAGATTTTTTTTTTTTTTGCTACAGCTTTGATTCAGACATTCGATCCCAGCCATTTCCTCTAATCAGCACCCTCTCCTTTTTAAATGTCAAAAACTGCTCACTGCTGATTAGTAGGTCAAACCTTTCGTACCTGGAATCTGCAAATCTCGACACTTAAAGATTAGAGCGATTTTTTTTTTATTTTTATTTTTATGTCTTGTGCTTTAATGTCGTGAGCAGGTCACTGGAGCATGAACAGGTAAACAACCAGTAAACACATGCAGTCATCTGAGAGGGTGTCTCATTAGTGAGTCATTGCGTGTACTTGGCCTCAGTCACAATGCGCCTAATCTGGACAAGGACAGCTCATCAGTGATTATCTGTCTCCCTGTGTGTGTGTGTGTGTGTGTGTGTGTGTGTGTGTGTGTGTGTGTGTGTGTGTGTGTGTGTGTGTGTGTGTGTGTGTGTGTGTGTGTATCGTTCATGCTGTAACTCTGCTGTGTTTCCCTCTGCCCTCTCCTGGTGATCTGCAGCAAAACTGGCAGCACAGATGCAGCCTATGCTCTCCAGAACCTGGCTCTGCTCACACCACAACTCGTCATACCGCCTGTACTTGAAAAGTGAGATCCGTCTGCACTTTTGTGCAATTTTTAAAGTGCATCAATGAAGGCGTGTTTGAGACTTGACCGAAGAAAGGGGCTTTTGTGAAATGCAGGCAGTAATTAAACGGTGTGTGTAAAAACAGGACCTATGCGGCGATGGAGACCCTGACGGAGCCGCACACGCTCACCGCCACCCTCAGCTGCATGATCGGCATGGCGCGCAGCCTCGTTTCCCCTGACAACCGCTACCCAGAGGGCCGCGCTCACGTGCTCCCATTGCTCATGGGCTCTCTCCCGGGGGTGGACCCCAACGACTTCAGCAAGTGCATGGTGAGTAATGAATGTGCCGATAAGTAATGAAGAAAAATTATGAGACGGGATGACAATAGAGCTCTCGCTGATTGAGTTCCCTTCTTGTATACTCAGGTCTGTCCTATTAATTAGTCCAGAAAGTGGAATGAATACCTCAGTTTGAAGAAGTTGTAATTAATGTGTCTTGGTTGTCTGCTCGAATAGTAAAATGGATTGCTTCCCTCCCGTTTTCTCCACGCTGTATTAATCATCTCAGCAGACCCAGTGAAAAGATTTGAAAAATCTTACCTGGCACATTATTTAACGCACGCCGCGATCGTGTCAGATGATGTAAATTGATCTGTTGTGGATCTCCGTCCAGATAACGTTCCAGTTCATCACCACCTTCACCACCTTGGTGCCTTTAGTGGACTGCTCATCTGCTCCGTTTCGACAGACGGATCTCACCGAGGTAAAAACCAGAACAGATGTCAAACACCTCTGCAGATAAAACACAAACAGGACAAGAACCGTGCCGACTTTTAAGATACAAATGTGAAGACTCCGTACATCGTGGGCGCCAAGACGTTTTCTTTAAAGCATAGTGTCTCAAATCTAAACAAGTGAGTTGTAACTAAAAAGGGCACTGGAACATTTTTACCTGGAGACAGAAGAATAATCGGACAAATCATTGTCTTTAGCTTCTGAAAGATAAAGCTACTCCAACATGCTGCACTTTGACAGAAAGCAGAAAAAGAACTTTGCTTTCCACCATTATTTTGTTCGGAATTAGTGTTGTGTAACCAGCTTAATGTACGTAAAAAATAAAGATTGAAACTAAACGTATTATTCAAAACGTAGTTGCAGTATTTGCAAGGTTGTTGTACTTCTGTCGTTGTTTAAGTCATTATCCGTTTACGTCTCTAACAGGTAGGACAGACAAATTAAATTTGAACTCTGTATTTACAAAGTGATGCTTCAAAAGCACCCATCATTACGTCCTTTTTATTTGTTGGGTAATTTGACACATAAGTTAGCGTATGTGCTTTCTGTCTTTCTGACAGTTAGAAGAAAAACTTGCATCACTTTAATGTTCCCACCATAAACATTCAGATGTCAACTCAGCTTAGCATAAAGCCGGAAAAACAGCGTTTCAGACTATCTGACACTAAACGCAGCAAAAACAACAACAGACGACAAAATCCACCCCAGACTGCGCTAATTATCTGCTTATCTGTTGTTGTTTTTCTCAGTCGGCACTAAAAATCAAAGCGTGAAAACACCATGTTGGTCATTTTTCTCCAGCATGGGGACACGGACCGGCATTGTGGGTCTGCTTCCAGCGTTCGTGCCGAACCACTTATTTTCATATTTAAGGGACGATCGCCGCGGTTGGCCGGGATGCTTAATCCCTCCAGCTTGTGCAGGGTCTCGTAGCGGGTCTCCTCTGAGACGGCATCCAGGGGAACGGAGGGGACTCTCAGCATAGATGGGGCAGGGGGTCTTTCTGGAAATCTCACCCAATCTCAAAGTGACATCTTGGCAAGCCTGCAGCGAAAATGCAATTCAGATTTCTTGTAATCACAGTTTTATTCTTGTAGCAATTATCTAAAGATGATTACCATTGCAGATCAAGAGCTTTCCCTTTGAGGCTCGCGTCCGTCAAATGTATCTCCCCGAGTAGTCCAACGGCTTTTTTCCTCAATTAAGCCGTAGAAAAACAAATCATAGAGATATTACAGAAACACATTACCTATATTTCTTCCCTGCAGATTGAAAAAGATCTCTGCTTTGCCTCAGCCGGCTTTGAAGACTTCGTGCTGCAGTTTCTGGACAGGTAGAGATAAATTAGCAAGTCAGCCTGTCACTCTGTGGAGCTTTGTTGTCATCGTCAGAATACGGATGTGTCTCTCTGTTTGAAATGCACTAGACTCCCTGCCTCTGGAGTGAAAAAAGCCTTTTTGTGTGTGTGTATGTGTGTCTGTTTTTCTTCTTTTTTTTTTTTTTTTTAAATCATATCGTTGTTGACATTTTCATCACAGACGAGTGTTTTAAGTTTGTGTTTGCGTATGTGTGTGCGTGCACAGATGTTTTGCTCTCATAGACAGCAGCACTCTGGAGCAGACGAGAGACGAGACGGAGACGGATACCCAGACTCATTTGGAGAGCCTGGTGGAGCTGGGACTGTCTTCCACCGTTAGTACGATCCTAACACAGTGCTCCACAGAAATCTATGAGGTAGTGCAGAAATACACTCCGTCGCTGATACACACATGTCTCAAAGATAACAAGCCTTCAGTGTGACGTGACCTTTAAAAATGTCTTTTTCGGGTTCAGATTCTTGAAACTAAGCTTCTTGCTTTGACTGATGATATCTTTCATGAATATGAGATTTCAGTTTCTGTTGTTTTGCGAGTTCTTCTTGCTTGATTTGACAATACAAAATGAATAAATTAAAGACTCAGTTTAGGTGGTAAAATGTGTCGTATAAACTCTACATAATTTACCAGCCAACACCGGATGTTGTGAAGGATGAACCCAGACACCCTACCATTTTGAGAGGTGCTCTAAAAGCAGTTTTCTGTCAGTTTTTTTCCAAATTATTATGCCTGGTTTTTATTAGACATTAGTTGCACAAACATCCATTGGAGGCTTACAGTCACAAGCAATAAATTCAGTCCAGAACGAACTGGTTGTGCAAAAGGTTTAGGCCGACGTCTGGGTAAGTATGGAAGAGAGAAAACTTTCAAAACATTTTTCCTTTTTGTAACAAACAAAACGAAAAAAAAAAACAACAACATAGAAATCAAAATACAAAACATTGCACTTTTGACATCAATTTATATTTTTCTAACCATTTATATTTTGGTTTTAGATTTACTGACTGATAAAAAGGTGAATGCAATCTCAAAATGGTGATTTCAGTGCTTATTTGAGATTTAAGCCAATCCACGTTTAGATTTTAAACTAATATATTGTTTACATGTCGGCAATCAAAGCATATTTTATTCATAGAAGCAGAAAAAAAGCATTACATTTAAAATATGTTCTTCAACATATTTTTGAATATGTAAGGTTATATACAATGTTACAACTTTAAAAGCAACTTTATGGTAATTGTTTTATGCTCAAAAGACTGTTTTGTAAGAAATTATGAGGGGAAAAAAATCAGATTTGAGTAAATTATGGGATTTTAATGTGTAAAAACACTGAATGTCATAAAAAAAACAAATAATTATTCTCAAAAAGAATAAACAAGAATGCAATTAGTCTTGTATTTTAAGCTAAAATGCTTATTGATCAAATTGTCTCAAGAAGCATAGAAAATGGGAAATATTGGCATTTTTATGTCAAGAATATTAAAACTAATACGTGTTCAGTCATAACTGTAACATTAGGAAGTGGATTTTCTTCAATTCTCAACTTTAAGACTTCCTCTGTCTTAACCACAGGAGGACTGTGAAAGAGGCAAAACTTTAATTTTGTCATTTGTAATTAGAGCCACTGTTTAGTAAGATTGAACTAAATTGGCCTAACCTGCTAAGCTGGGTCTTGTCATCCTTGTGTAATGGTAACAGTTTGGAAAGAATATAAAAATTTTGCCTGTACCACTAAATCACGCAGATTTACGAGACAGACTGAACATTCTGTCCTCAGTAATGTTAAAAGCCCGTTTAAATTAATAACAATAATTCAATGCATTAATGATGCAATAAAAAATGATTGCTTGCACCAAAAACTGAAAAAAACAACAACAACAAAACGACAACATTTGCACAGACAGTTAATACAAATGAAGTGCATCATCTGATTTTATACTACACTGCATTTTGATCAGGTTGCGTTGCAGAAGCTGTACAACTTTGCCACCTCCAGCATCTTTGAGACGTGTGTGTCAGGCAGAATGGTGGCCGACATGTGCAGGGCTGCAGCAAAGGTAACATTGGCTTTGTCTTGTTTTGTTTATACATGTGATGCAAATTGCCTTTGTGTTATTGTACAGAAACCAAAAAGAAGTTTTAAATAGTACACCTTCCTGAGGCCATGCATGTTTCAGAATATTTTCATTCCATTTGCTATGCTCATTTTCATTGCTTCTGTTCTTTTTTTTCTTCATGAATGTGTGCCTAATTGTGTGTGCTTTTGTATGTTTGGATGCTTTTTTTTTTTTTTTTGCATGTTTTTGTGTGTTTGCAGTGTCATCCTGCTGAGTCTCTCCGTCTGTTCGTCCCTCACTGCTGCAGCATCATCTCGCTCATTACTGACAGTCAGTACCACACATTGTAGAACAGATCTGTGTGTAGACAGGATGTGACGCTGCTCGCAAGGCTATTTGAGCCCTCACATGAGCTAAGAATAGGTTTATTCAGCAGGTCCTTTCAATTATACATGAAAGCCGAAGACAAATCTTCAGCCCTTGCTACTTCAAAATTTCTGATCACCGTAACCTCAAAAAGTTATAAAATTAGCCATCATCTAAGCCTTCAGCACTTCCCCTAAAGGAGTAGTTTACAAAGTAAATAGATTTTAAGAATATTAAACTCTTAGGTGACATAGCCAGAAAAAATATCAGAAGTTATTTTCCATGCACGAAGACAGCCTGGTGTACTCTGTGCTACGGCAGATCTAATCATAACCACAATCATTTTTACACTCGTAGTCTTGCCTCTCTTAACAGGTGTTATTTATTTTTTATGTGATTTGTTTTAAGCGAAAGCTGTTAATTCAAACACATTTTCAAGGGACACAGAGAGTTTATGTCAAATCTCAACTGGAATAGTGTGATACAACACTTTGAACCCAAGATTATGGGTCCAAATTAAGCACAAGAAATAAAGTATTTGAGGCGAGTAAGTAAAGCTTTCTGTGGGTTAATGTGTTTGTGCATAGATGTGGAGCTGCAGAACGAAGATGAGCTGGATAAGGAGCTGCTGTGGAATCTCCAGCTGCTCTCTGAGGTGAGAGGACAAACTCCTGAAGCACCTTAAAGCTTTAAAAAACACTCAGACGATCACTTATTGTCATCTGCACCATGTCCGGAATTTGTATTCATTCTCAAAACGACAGGAGAACAGATGCTTGGCACCAATTTGCATTTTTTTGGGTCAAAAAAAAAAAAAAAAAAAACGAAAAACAGTCGCTTCAGAATTATAGTAAGGATATTACAAGAGGAAAAACACCAGCCAAAAGACATTTCTTACAGTGCGCTCCGTTCAAGGTCATAAATATCAGAGCGCTTTGTCGTTAACCAGAACATATTGACACTCTTTCAAGTTTTTTTTTTTATTACTCCTGGGAGCTCAACGCAAGGCTGAGTGAGCCAGACGCTGTGATTTACCGAAGATCCTCAAAATTTAAGGCGCAGCTCTCCACTGAATTGAATGTTCTCGGTTATACGTGTGTGCGTTTGTGTTGTATTTAGGTAATCCGTGTGGATGGCGAACAGCTGCTAAAATACCAAGGGGAGCTGGAGCGCATCCTGCGCGTGTGTGTGCATCTTCGCTGTAAGCAGGCCTACACACTCGCTTGCAGCTTGCTGGAGCACACACTCCGCTCGCTGTCTCTCATCTATCCCACCGAGTACCGCAGCACCTCTGGGGGCTTCGATTCCGACCTCCCCATCCGGGTAAAGACGCACCGAAACTTTTGCAAAAAAAAAAAAAAAAAAAAAAAAAAAAAAAGAAATAGACAAAATCGCACTCATCATTATTTAATTCCATTTTTATAGCATTCTCACATATTTGCACATATTTTCAGCTCAAACTCAGTAATTAATATGTTTAAATTGGGTTCCAATATAAAAATATATAAGGAAATGATTTTAGAGTACTATGTAGATCCATTGGATCCATCTTTCAAAGATTAATAAAGCAGATACCCGACAGTGTAACATAAGTTGGCATGAATTTACACTTCTGAGAAACTTGACTTTCCTGTAATATATGAAAGTAATTTGATCAGCAACTCGTCGATCCCTCTGATTGTTTTTCTTTTTATTCTTTCATGTTGAATACTTTGAAAGGAATGTTTTTGTCATTTACACCAGTTCAACTCTGACTAATGACTCCGACTCATTAAGACTTTGAAAGTCTTGCTCGTTTAAGGTGATGGATCAGTGGATCAGCTCGCGTATGAAGAGAAAGCAACCTATTTTGGATCGAATCTTTAGGCACTTCTCTAACAGCCTGTCGCAAAAATGAAAAATAACACAGATCGTACAAAATGACAGACATGAAAAGGCATTTCAGCACCAATAAAGTGGTTTCCAAACATCGACGAGTTACTTGACACAAGATGGATCATCAGCAGATTGGATGATGTATCTGATATAAACTGACACGTCATTTTATATCTTACGTTCATTTATTCTCTTCCCTTACGATTTGAAGACTGCTCCACACAATATGCTGTTACAGTGAGATTCAAGCGGGAGAAAATAAGTGGAAAAGAAGCCAGAAGGAGAAAATTGTGTTGACTTAAAAATGTTGCGGTGGCCTGGATTGTTCTTGAATGTGTTTAGTTGTTTGGATTCACTGAGTAAATTGTAAGATCGGAGGACTGCATGAACATATATTAATCTGCAAGTGAAAATTAAAACTTTTATCTGCTTATCATATAAATCAAGCCATCTGAACCCAAAAATATCCTATTATTGGTGATTTTATGAAGGAGGATTGGATTCGATGAGAAGTAAGGGTTCTGCTAACATGCCCACATAGATGAGACGATTTGAACGAACGGTGAACAGATTTGTTCAGATTATTAGTGACTCCTTTGTTCTTTTTAAACTTGCAAATATTTTTCTTACATTTATTCATGCACTTGCCACCTGTTACGTAGCTGTGGTTCAACCAGGTTCATCTAATGCATCGCATCATTTTTCAATTCTGTCTAAGCCTGTTTTTCATTTTCTTATTCATTAAAGTTGCTAGTTTGTAGAAAAGTTAGTGGCGTTATTTGTTTTCTTCTTCTAGACTTGTCTTTGTATCCGTTGCATCTGTTTTAAATATTTAAGACTTTGGTACATGACACAGGTCTGTGGTTTGGAGGTCGACTGGCTGTGCTGATTCGCCTGCCAGTTGTTCCAGTGGAAAAAAGTGGCAACAGCTCACTGCAGCTCTGTGGGTCTCCTCCTGCAGGACTGGGGCCGAGCCGGAGATGTGGCAGCGTTGGGTGTGTGTTGGCATGTGCCGTGCCAGGAGGAGGAAAACTTTGTTTTCCAGCTGCTGTCGTCGCTCCTGCATCCCCAGCTGCAGCGAATCAAAGGCCACGTGTCTGGAGCTCAGCCAATGACCAGGTGCGCAGTCGTTTGTCTCACTTTCGGATCCGCAGAGGCAATCCGTCACACGCACACGTTCAAGCCAAACAAACAGGACGGTGCTCCTCCATTACTGATGGATGAGGTCTGTTCACACCAAAAGAGAAGGCGATACATATGTTTTAGCTGTCTTTCCTGACTTCTTAATCAAGAAGAAGAATCAACTTTCCCTACGCAGAGTAGGGAAAGTTGAATTTAGCAGCCCAGAGTGTTGGAAAGCCATTGTGGTGCCTCTAGCCCCATACTGCAGAGGAAGGAGTGTGATGTGGTGTGTCGTTAACAGGGAGGAGTTGTGGCAGAGCTTAGCGATCGTGCAGCACTGCCTTCTCGGAGCTGGGAGCATGCTGCCCCCTTTGGATGGCGCACACGTCCCTGACCTGTGAGGCTGCAGTTCTGCACACTAATAGCACGGAAACACGCTTTTATCATGCTGGCTTGTCTCACGATTGGCCTTTTCTCAGGGTGCCCTCCATGGTGAATCTGGGGGAGATCAAACTGCACGTAGGTGTCGAGTATGGTAAGAACACAGCCACGTAGCGCAACGATCAAAAGCACCATCAGTGTCAGTGGGCGATAAGTGCAGCTCATTCTGCATTCTGCATCTATACGGGACGTCTGTGTGTCTTCTTCCCCCCTTCAGATGATTCATGGGAAAACTACAGAGTGTCCATCTGCCAGACCATGAGACTTCTGCTTCGTGAGTGGAGATTTTCTCTTAAAAACTCTCCTGTTTGAAATGTGACTGCGGTGCAAACTCGTCTCCTTTTTCTCCAATCCAGATCACATCCTGGAGCACTCGGAAGATGATACAAAATCCCTTTTTGTCATCATTAAGGTGCCCGATCCTTTATTTCTGCCACAATCACTCTAGGGGATGTCAAACTCCTGGAGGTTTTTCCAATTTAAAACCTGAGACCATAAAACATTACTTCAGATGTCACATATCTTGTACAACTTGATTGGGGGAAAAAAAAAAAAAAACATAAGTGGAAAAGTATTAAAAAATGTGAAAGTTGCAGTAAAATTGTTGCATAAGTTTGCACATCTTAAACTAATATTTAGTTTGCTTTCGGTCTTCATTGTTCTTTGATGGCAGTCTGTCTTAACTTAACTTGACTGTATTTGCTCACGCTTCCCTGCAAAAGGTCTTCAAATTTGTCAGATATTTTGGACATATGCACAAAAAATCTCAGTCTCACAGAAGTAAGACAAAAATAAAATACATGTAATATTTCAGCAAGATACATGAGCTTGATTTAAGTAAATGATTCCTTAATATTGATATAAAGTACAAGCACCACTGACAGATTATTTCACTAATAACAGGACATTCTTCCCATATTACAAGTGAAATAGTCTGCCTTCATTAAATATTTAGGAATTATTGACTTAAAAGGCTCATGTATCATTCTGAAATTTTACTTATAAGTTAGTTTTGTCTCATTTCGAGTATGCTAAGATGTTTGCATTAGAAACTAGACCAAATATACTTGGTAAGATTTTGTGTTTTTGGAGAGTGGATGATACATGAAAGAAAATAAAAATACACACCCACCCTCCAGTAATCCATTGATAGAAATTGACCAATCATACAGTCTAGACTGGGTTAAGAGAAGAGTGTGATAACAAAGACACCACACAACTGAATTAATTGTCACACAGCATCAACATGTTTGATACCACCTTATTTACATCCTCATCATTATTGTGAGTTATCACAGTTTCTCACCACGCTGGTAGTTTTGCTATGTCATTTATTTGATATTAACGTAGATGCTCAGCTGTCAGCAATTCACTGTGATTGGCCGCTTGCATAAATTTGTTTGATCTGGCGAAACGACCATCATAAAGTGGGGGATTAAAGGACATAAAAACCAAGCAGGACAGAGGAGCGGTGCCTGCTGTTTGCATAGTTATATCCATTTGACACAGAACACCTCTCCTTTCCGTCTGTCTTTCCACCATTTGCCTGCTGAAAACACTATAAGCCTCATTAAAAGTCCACAATACTCCAAACATTTTGTCACTTTAGAGTCTCTCTTAAGGCCTTCGGTGGTTCGCGGATATTTTTAAAATTCTAAGAAAAGTCTTAGGAGTACTTGCCAAGTTTGATTTTTGTCTCGATTTCTCTGAGTGAAATCCACTAATGCATCAAGATGTCAATACGTCGTCAATCCATAGCGCGTTTTTCCACAAACTTTAGCCAGACCTTTAGGAAGAAGATGCTTTTTTCTTGGAGCCATGCTTCTTAGTCCTGCTGTAAAGGGGAAACCGTGGAGATGGTTGCTACATTTAGGACGCAATCACTATTTGGAAAATTCCTGCAGCTCCTAAAAGTGTTTCGATTGGCAGCTTCCCTGACCAGTTTCCATCTTTTCTTTTCATCAGTTTTATCCCTGTTGTCCCATATTTTCTCCAGTTATTGATGACTGTAAATACTGTCATGAAATGCCGTGGAAATTTTGATGCTCTTCTCCTGTTTGAGTCCTTTGTACAATGAGATCATTTTGGTCTCTTGTAACCTTTCTGCAAACAATAGCTTTGGCTAAAGTTATGCAATGGTGCAAACGGGCCACGTCTATTTGAGGTCAGTCAGGCTCATTTAAAGCAAACCGGTTATGCACATTTCACATATTGCAAATCTTTGTACTTCCATTTGTGTCTCAGCTGCTTCTAAAAACAGCCCAAGTGATTAAAAAACACCCATACATTTTTTGGTGTATAAGTTTATGTTTTTTAGTGTTTGGAAAATGAACCATTTCAAAAACCTCCTGATTGTTACGAAACAATTGACAGGCACTGCACTGTTACCTAGCAACCCTAACGAAGCCTAGCCCGTCACCTAGCAACCTAAGTTGAGCTCCAGCGTGTTTGGTTCCAGCTGGCTTCAGCTGGTTTTCATGCTGTATGCATTGTACAATGGCTGCTGGAAAAAAAAAGTGTTTTGTTGTTGACTTACATTCAGAAAACACTTGCTGAATAGTGAGAAGTGTGCAGGAGGCTCCACTTCTGCTTTTCAAAGATGTATGCATCTGTTTGCAGCCATTTTTACGTGAGCGTAAACGTTGAGTTTTGGGGGCGTGGCCAGCAGCAGCTTATTTGGATTTGAAGTGACAAGAGGCCCCAAAACAGCTCATCCTGAAAGGAGGTGTGTACACTTTTGAGATCTGCAAAGGGCTCACTGTGCTCCATTTTGCTTGCAGATCGTCAGTGACCTCATGTTTTTCTGTGGCACACACAAGAAGGAGTTTGACTCACGCTGGAAAAGCTTCACTCTTGTCAAGAAGTCAATGGAAAACAGGGTGAGCTGGTAGAATGACAGGTTTAGGCCTGCTTAATGTCATCAGTTTCAATAAGTAACTTACAGGATGATTTAAACGCCTCGCCTTTTCGTTTTTATAGCTTCTTGGGAAAAAGCGGCACATCAGAGCGCTGCTCATCGACCGGATTCTGCTCCAGCATGAGGTTCGCAACGAGAAACACACTCATGCCCGAAAATAAATCTTCCAGATTTTCCACTGGTGAAAATTGTATTTATTTATTTATTTATTTTTTTGTTCTTCCTCGCGAGCAGATGAGAAAACTGGTGGTTGAGGGCAGTGAATACAAAGTGGTCCATCAGGAGCTGCTCTGTGATCTGCTGCTGCTTTCTACCAGCACGTACAGCCAGGTAGACAACTAAATTCAGAACGACGTCTGGCTCCCGTTTTCGCATGAGTGCTTAGGTGAAACTGGAGCTAACTGTGCAAACACACATATTCCTGCAGGTACGTAGCAGGGCGCAGAGCGTGCTGATGACAGCGATGGGAACCTATAGCTTCGCTTATAGAGACATGATTCCCCGTATGTTACAACTGCTGTCTCCACAGAACACCGCGGGCACGGAGCAGCAGTTCAAGGTACTGGGAACACACACGTCCAACACGTGACTCCTCAGAGCTGCCTCTCTCTCTGTGGTGCTGAATAGGAAAGACATGCTAAAATGCACCATCTTAGTATTGATGGCTTGTTAGTGTCACTGGAATTGGTAATTCTCTGCATTCTGCCCTGATTTTGCATGTTTACAACCAGATGTTGAGGCTGGAAGCCTAGTTTTTCTTTTCCCTGCTCACACTTTACTTTGCAGTTTTTGCTTAATAAGGTCTAAGACACACAAGTCAGAGATGTGTCTTAGATATGATATTAATATCTGCTACATCACTGAGGTATAGTCAGAGGTCTACAGTTTACACAGCAGGCCAACAGGTGGCAATAATTCACTACTAGCATATTTAGCAGAAAAAGAAAAAAGTTCTTATTAGAAATTTAGCTCAGTTGTTGTATCCCCAAACACTAATTCATCCTATTGTGAATAACAACAATGTCATCACACAGATTTTGTTCAATTGTTTTCTAGTTTTGTTTCTCCTTTCGTCTCTATTTGGTGTCGTTTCTTTGTCACTGTGTGACAAACACATTTTATTTTATCATTCCAGATCCATTGTGGCAGCACATTTCACTTAGTCAAACAATCTAAGTTGTTCACAGAAGGGCATGTAATACCCTGCCACACTGGGGAAGATGATGACATTTAGAACATACTTACGTGAAACCATGAAATGAACACCAAGATTCCAGAAGGGTGCTTTAGTATGATCTGTTCGGCATTAAGAAAACGTAATATGGACGTAATGAAATACGGGTTTCATGGCATGTCTTACTGTTCGGTACACACCTCAGCTTTTGTGTGATGTACAGATGAGAAACGGCAACAAAAAGTGCACATTTTTGTTTTCATTAGCTGTTTTATGATAGGAACTGTAGCTAAACACATGTTCACTGAATAGTGTTTTCAAAAATTCTGGTAGCAGTGTAACCGGGCATTGCAATAAAAATGTGAATGTGAAAACTATCAAATTAATGGTGAAAATGTCACCTTACTTCCACTCTTTGTTTGAGCTGGCTTAAAGATTAGCTTTTTTTAAAAGAAAATAATGATATATCTAAAAGAATTTTCAATAATTTCACTGAATTCTGATGGAATCAACTAGCTCTCTCACTCTTTGGTTACCTAGCAACTCGCGCACTCTTTGGTTACCTAGCAACAACAACTTGCTGAGTAACTTGCGCAGCAGCTGTTTAAGGTTTCACCAGTTATAAATTAAAAGGAAAAAAAAAGTGTTGAGTGAAAATTGTGGATAAAACAGAAAAGACTATCACATTAGCTTGTCCGTATTTCAGATATTTAATACAAAAAAAGGAATCAATAATTATCAATATCGACCAATATGAAACGCTTATATCGTGACTCATGTTTTAGCCATATCGTCCAGTCCTGTGACTGACATTGTGGGATTGTGTTCGTCACGTTCAGTTTTGAAATCAGATTGTCATCTTGATACCTTCACATCACTGATTCATAGGCTGATTATATTTTTAAGGGCGTGTATCCAGTTGACCTCTTTCTGTTCTTCTTTTCTTCAGGGTAGTCTGTACTGCCTCTTGGGCGCTCCCAGTGGTTTCTGTCCAGCAACCACACGGGACTGGGATTGTGTCGGGGAAGTGTGGCCCGCTCTGGTCCGATGCGGACTGTCACACTCGGTGACCCTGGAGAAGCCCTCCATTGGTCGACTGTTTGATGACATCATTGATAGGATTCATCGCCTTCACGACACCATTGGAATCTACTTCACGGTGAGACACGCATCTAATAACAATCACCAAACTAGCCTCGACTGTGGTCTGTTAACTGTGGGTCTTTCTCCTTTGGTCACCTCCTTGTCTAGGTGTCAGAGAGATGTGTCGAGATCGCCAACCAAATTGCACAATCTAAAAATCCCACACCTTGTTCGAAGCTCCCGTCCAAAGAAGAAATAAAAGAAGGAATTCAGCGTCAGCGTATCAGAAATGTTGTTGCTGCAAGGTAGGAATATTTTTTTTAAAAATCAAATAGGTGTTAATAGTTTTTACTGTCCAGCAGATTTGACATGTTAATGTACCGTGGAGCAGATTTGGGTGAAAAACAGCCAATTTTAATCAGCATAAAAAGGCTACAGAAAAGCTAGTGGGAAATTTTGTTGGTCCGTCTTTGTTGCTATTATTTGTAGTCTGTTTAATGCTTCTTGTTTTCTCACAGGAAATATGAGAAGCTAGTCAATGACCTGTTGGACTGCCTTGAAGACAGAGATCTGTAAGCTGTTTCCTTACATGCGCATTTCATGCTATGTAACATAACAGAAATTGAAACAAATGATGAGATTAATAGTGTAATGTCATTTTTTAGCAAGCATTAGCAATGCTAGCATTAGCACAGGAACGGTGGTGATTTTAGCTCACCGGAGTTTTTACAATATGAAAACTATGTAGGCAATTGACAATTGAAGTAAGTGCACCAATACATAAAAGCTAGGGCTAGCTCTCCAGCAAAGCTAGAAGCAACTGCAAGTTACAAAATAGTAGCAATTTAAAACCTCAGTGAGTCATTTCTTCAAAAGTAGTACCGGTAGGTTAATTTTGGAGAAGTATCCTTTCTCCAAAAGGAAACTTTAGGAGAAATGAAAAGACACGGCTATATAAGCGCTAGCATTAGCTCTTCAGAAAAGCTGTCTGTGAGAGTAATTGAGAATTGCTGCAGATTAAAACTATTGTAGGTCATTACTTTAGAAGTTGTGGATTATATACATACTTTATGATTACCTGTCTTAATGACAACCATTAAGACAGGTAATCATGGCCAAAAGAAACTATATAAATGCTAGCATTATCCCTGCAGAAAAGAAGAAAACTAGAACAACTCCTATAAATGCTTACTTTAAAAGTTGTAGATTGCTTATAACTGATTTGTTGTTTTTCTATCACCAATCATTAAGGGGGGGATGAGAATAAAGAGGAAGTGATTCACATTTACTGCATTTTACATTGTTAGCATTAGTACTGCAGCTAGCTTCAACAGGACGTGAGATATGAAAACTTTCATAAGTTCAAAAGTTATGGAGTTGCATATGATCATTTGTAGATTTTTGCCATGTGGCAATCATTTAGGCAGCTAATAGTTTGAGGAGTAAAAACACATTAGCGTTACAAATGCAGCAAAATGAGATGCTAAAGAAAGATAAAAAATTATACGTTTCAAACTCTCTTGAGCAATTACTTCAAAACTTAAGTGAGACTATCCTTATTTCTGCCAGGAAACTTTAAATATAGTCCTTTAAATTGACTACTGGTAGCTTTTTATTTTACCACAGCACCCTCTGGAATAATTGCCATCCTACTTATCGGCTCCTGCTGGCGTAGTTGAATATTCATTTAAAATGTTTTTTCACCAGAATATGCTTTGTGTTTCACAGAGAATTGCTTTTTTGCTGCCTGAAATTACTTTTTCTTTTTTTTTTTTTTTTGGTCTCTGTGGTCTATATGTCTGTTTTTGTTTCAGGCCCTGGAAGTTTGAGCACATGGCCACAGACCTGTTGGCTCTTCTTCTGCGAGACGATCATCCTCTCCCACCTGATGCTGTCCTCTACTTCACACAAACCCTTGTTCACGACTCCATTAGCATACGCAAGGTCTGCATCTCTCTGTGTGTGTGTCTTATTATTGTATTTTTCTTCATGGTGTAGGGAATCTAAACACTTTCCAGGTATCTGCTTTTCCCTCAGGTTATAAAAATGGAAATAAGGTGGCTGAAGTGTTTTTTTGGTGCTACTTTTCCAGCTGTAACATGATGTCTAGAAACATAAACGCCCTTTACTTTCTTATGCCAGAGCACCTTATCAGCATAGATATTGAAAATCCACTCTCACATACAGATTCAGGTGTTATATGACATAGTTTAAACACAGATGTTCAGCTTTCATACCAACATCATAAAGTTTACTCTAGATAGATCTCATTACATTTATCTTCAGCAGTAAATAATATCTAATAACACACAGCAAAGCGTTAACCAAGGTTTATTATGTTGGATCATATCAGATACTATGCAACAGGAAATTATGTGTGTACACTTGGGTGCAGAGAAAGCCGTAAAGAGTAAGTGATTCACACTTACTGCATTTTAATTTTAAGACAAATTTACTCGGTTAATTTTTATTGACATTGCACTGTATGTTTCTCTGTTCCACACCAGTAAAATTGCAGTCAACTCTACAGTTACTGATAAAAATGTGTTTTAAGGCTGAGTTAAATTAAGATTTAATTCAATCTGATCATGACTAAATTTAGAAAAAACAACCTATTATCTAATCCGCTACTTTTTCCCCCACGCTTTGAACCATACAGCTTGTGGCCCGGTGCGGCTTTTCTGTGGATTTTTC